GGGGGGGGGGTGGCGTGGCTCTGGCCTCAGCTTCCCCATTGAGCACGTCGGTGTCTGGATAATGGAGCTCAGGAAAGCCGAGTAAAGTGGGAGCCGCGCTTCCTACACTGCGTTCTGTCAGCAGGCCGCACGCTCGATCCATTCCGAGTGCGGAAAACCGCTCAGAGGGTAAACCTCTGGCCTCTCTGAGCAAACACGAGGCCGCGTGTGACCGTGTGGCTGTCACCGGACCCGCTTTGTTTCCTCTTGTTTTGCAGGACAGGATGCTCGTGCGGGTGACATGAGCCATTTTAGAGTAAAAATAGATCTTAACCCAGGGGACATACCTAAGGTGTCACCCGCCGCCTGGAGGTCAAACCCCTTAAATTGCTTCGCAGACAAAATGATTTCCACATATCAGCGTGATCTCCGCTACGCCCCTGCCAGCCCCGCTGCAACCTTTGTCTTGTGCCATGTCGTTTGTCAGCAGTAATTAGGTTTAGCATAACTTGCATAACGTCGGTGATTTAATCAGAGCTGCGGCCGACGTATCAGTCCACACGTGCGCCGACGCCGTGTGTCGCAACAGCTGATAATACCCGTGAAAACGATTATTAGAATGCACCTTTGTTTCTAGTATTTATTGTGAACTGTGTGACCTATTGTTTTTTTCAGAGCAGGGGAAGGTTGCGGCCTATGTCTGCCTTTCAGGTTCTGGGAGATTAGGAGTTTTTCTTTAAGCTGCACTGTATGTCAGGGGCATGTTTTGTGTGTTTTCAGGTTTAAAGGACTTCTGTACTTGCGGTAGAATTCGTTTGTCTAGGTTAGAGGCCCACGGAGAGGTCAGGGGATGCTGTTGAGTACAGCCCGGCGGTATGTTAGACATGCCAGTCTAATTCTGCTCGCTTTCTGAGCAGCCCCGCCACCTTTCACTTACATATTTCTCAGCAACAAGGTGAGCTTGAGTCTGCTTGGAGCTCGTGCTCTACGGCGCCTTTTGCAGCTCAAATACTGCCGTTAGCTGCCTCGACACGTTGGGCAAAACTCCATTCTCTTTTTGCCTTGAGGTGACATCTTCAGAGGCAATTCGAACACAGGTGCCACCAAAATCCAAACAGTCTCTTTTTTTTTACTAGAAATCTTTATTTGAAATAAATGTTGCATTCGTACGACCAGTAACATTTGTTTTAATGGGTGTTTTGCTAGCTATGTACCATGTTTCACTAAGTCATTAAGATGTGAAAATGGACAATGGGGAATAATACATACCCAATCAGTAGAAGGCAAATGATCATCATTGTAAATAATAAGGAAAATAGCAATATAACCAGCATTTGGTTATTATTTTGGGCCTATATCTCCTAGCTTGACGGATATAAGCCTGGATACATGGTGAGAACCTGAGGGTCAGTTTTCTTCACTGTTCTTTGGAAGAAAAAAAAGCCTGCCATCCAGCATCTGCCCTAACCTGTGGTTTGAAAGTTTTCACTAAAACGGACAGATCTGCTCCACTAGTCGTTCGTTGGTGTTGAAAGGCGTTCGCACTTAGCAGATTCAACAGGGGTGGAAGTTTCTGCGTAAATGTGCATTGATTTGCAATTCTAATGTGAGATTATTGCCAAATTGAAAACAAAAAGGTAAACCACGTAACACACGGACGATTTAAACCCAGACAGGGGAATAATAAGAAGCATTGTTGCAGTAAACGCTTGTTATTCAACCTCCTCCGTCCCCTGAGCTGAACAACTTGCTTCATCTTGAAAATCCTCTTTTCTTTCTTTGCTCAAGCTTTTGTTTTGTTTTTTTTCTCAGGGATTTTTTTTTTTTTCTTCTTGTGCGTGTTTCCCAAACAAACTCGCTGTAATCCCCCGTTGCCGAGTATGCATAATGGATTCCTTTTATTCCAAATCCAAACGCTGCATTCAGACGCGGTCATTTTTCTCTCTGTTTCTGTCACTCTTTACCGTCTGTGGCCCTTACCTCTGCTGCCTCTCATTTCCCTTTCATTTTCTCCCTCCCACCCCCCCCCCCCCCCCCTCCCCTCTCCCTGCTCTGCTCAGCTAAAGCTGTCATGTTACTTTCATTAGACGGCCTTATATCCGTGTTTTCCCTCTGCCTCTTTGCCTTTCCTGTTTGCTCTGTGGAGCGGATGAAGCGCCCGGCGCGCACCTTCGCCCTCCCACAGCAGCTGCCACCTCCGTTTCTCCTCTGTCGCTGCCCGGGATGACTGGCAGCCATCCTCTCAGCCTGTCCACGCGTGTCACTCTCTGTGTGTCCCGCCCTCCTCCCCATCCCTTCCCCCCCGTCTTGTCTAGGTGAGTGATGGAGACGAGAGAGTTGACGGTGTTAGCTGGCAGCTTCGTGGGCTTCCAGTTCCTCTTCTCGGTGGCCAGCCCGCGACTCTCCTCCGCCGTCGCGCCGGGTTATAAAAGGCTACCCACCACCAAGCACACGGAGTGGAACTCCAGGTGTGTCCCAGAGCAACCCTTTTTCTTTTACAGACATACCCTACAATTCAATTCAATTCAATTTTATTTATATAGCGCCACATCACAACAACAGTCGTCTCACAGCGCTTTCCAAACAGAGCAGGTCAGACCCTACTCTGAAGTTAATTACAGAAACCCAACAATTCCCACCATGAGCAAGCACTAGGCGACACAGGCAAGGAAAAACTTTCTTTTATGTCACCTACACATAATAGTCATCTCGAACTACACAATTTCTTCCAAAAGAAAGTAAAGGAGGAAAAAAATGAGTTTTTTTTTGTGGGGCAGCTGTTGTGAGACAGACCCCAATGCCGGGACGAAGCGCAGGGGTGAGGTTCAGAGGGCACTCGCTCCCAGTTGTGCAACACCTCTGGCTGACGGCGCTCCGCTCTGTTTGCTGGCGGCCTGTTGTCCAGATAAGCCGCAGCCGACGGGAGCCTGTTTGTTCCTACCGGCCAGAGTGGAGCGCGCTGACCAAGAAGTCCAAAACGAGGCAAAAGCAAAAGCACCCATGGTTGACTTTGGAGTGTTCACGCATTGCATAACTGCCATCTCTCTCTCTGTGTCAGTTTGTTGTTTATGTAAGCTCCACTCAAGTGCACGTAGAAGACTGGGAAAGCTTTTCAGAGTAGACAGGGCAGTGTTGAACAAAGTAATGGAGAATAGAGGGTTTGTGTAAAGTGCCTCTCCTTTCTTTTTCTTTTTTTTATTATCTTTTTGGCTGCTTTATATTTACTTGTCAGTGTAGACGTAATGTATGTTTTTACTCCAGGCCTGCCTTACCTTTGGAACACTTTTTTAGTTGTTTTCTGTCCGGTCTTAAGTACCTGGCCACAGGTCAGTGTTTAAAACTGAGACGTACTCCAATGCATCTCTCCTGAGAGATGCGTCCTTTGCAGTGTCCCCATTACTGTTTACCGAGGCCTCTTCGGAAATGGTTTTCCAACAGTTCAGCGACCCCAGACACTCCACTCAAACCATAGCTGGACGGAAAACAGTTTGTTTTATGTGATCCCTTCAGCCATCCTCCCTCTGACTCTTTCTACGGAGCCACTTCAGAATGTTAATAATGGCCTCATACAGCAGCCTGACCCCGTTTGGCCTGGGTTTAGGCCAGCAGCTGAAGCCTGCAGGCTGCCAGGAGGCTGCACAGTGATAGTGGAGGAACTCTCCCAGAGGGGAGATAGAGTACTGGAGTACTTCTTCAGTGACCCAGAGAGCGCCTCCAAAGGTCAGGGGTGACGTCCTGTCAGGTCTCTCTCTTTGTTTTCTTTTTTTAAAAGTAGCGAAAACTAGCTAGATTTAAAAAAAAAAAAGGAAAAATAGATGCAATAACTTATTAATTCCGGTTAGAAAAGTTAATATTAATCTTCCTGTTTCGTGTTTACTCATGCGCTTTTTGTTTGTTTGTCTTTTTCTTGTGTCAATCTCCAGGTTGGTGTCCACTGTTCACGCCTTGGTTGTGGGCTTGTTCTGTTTATACATCCTGTGGTTCGATGACGAGGTCAACGCCAACCCTGTCTGGTAAGAGGAACCGAAAAGACATCCACCAGATAGAAACCTATTACCATTGCTCATAGAAGAAGGAAACGTGATCCGCAGAACCTCGTGAACGACACGAAATGCGTCCCGCACATGTAAAAAGCTGCGTGCTGTGCCGTTTTGGAAGCCAGCAAAACGGGAAGTGGGCGCGCGGAGGGCAGGGAGGCTGGTTCCAGACGGTGTTCGGTTTCTGTAAAAGAAAGAAGGGAGAGAGAGGATGGCTCTAACGCGTCCGTGTAACCTCCAGAGAGCGGAGCAGCGTTGGATTTCGGTCTAGAATCTCCTCCTTGTCTTGATTCGGTCTTCTCATGTGTTGTTTTTTTCTTTTTTTTTTCTTTTTACTGACGTTAAAGCCTCCTGAAAGAGGAGAATAACCACCTCGTCTCCGCCATCTGCATCAGTCTTTA